TGGACCTTATTAGTTAGGACCAAAAGGATGGATGTTCACGGCCTAAGGCCCATATGTAGAACCAGCTGGACCATTAGAGGACCAGCATATTTATTATTTTAGAAATTCGACGGCCCAAACAAAACCATGAGATATGAGAGATCGACTTCTTGTGGAATGATCTTTCAAATTGTTCTTGCTGGCACACTGTGGTTATGTACATATGTTCCTAACTGTATTTAGTGTTTTGTATTGTGCCACAAAGACAACTGATGGTAAAGACACGGTATCATAACTACAAGCAGAGAAGTCCAGAACAGCAATGTCATCAGTGAAACAAAAGCTTGAATACAGAAGTCCCAATAGAATACTACCTGGATGGGGATCTAATAAGAATTCCAATTCATGGATAAGCTTGTCTGGGAGGTCTCTCAACAATACAGTTAAAGTTGGAAGGCTTGTTTCTGATGATGATGTCGTGATTACTGAGATCTATCTTTTTCTGGAATCGATCGATTTATGTTGATTCAATCTTCTTTTGAAAAATAATCTGATATGCAAAATGTCTATCAAAAAATTTTTGGAGCTATGTGCTATAATTGACTGTTGGAATAAACTCCTTTAAGCAGGTCTTTTGCCTTTTCTTTGCAACAATACTTCGTGCAGCTTTTCATCTCTATATGCAGCAAAGCACCATCTTTTATTAGAAAACGATCATATGTTTGATATATAGCATAGCTTAGCAAACCAAAATCACAAAAAAAAAAAAAAACAACAACTTACGTAAAAGATGTTGAGCATAACTACAACATAAAACGGGAGACTTTCTATGGAATGAACTTTCTTATTGTCCTTGGCGGCAAATTGTGGTTATGTACATATATCACTGGCGGTTCTTTTAAGCAAACCTTAATGCATAAAGTAGCATAGAAAGCAGCTTCAATGTTGCTTACAAGGAAATCAATCTGAGTCTATGGACTTAAGTATCATCTGTCGTGTGTTGCCAAAAGTGAATTATAATACCAGTGTTGCAACAAAAATTTATTGGATTCGGAATCTTCTTGGTCGATCGGAAAGCATGGAAATTAGCACCATAATTTCATGTTATCTATGAATCAATATCCAAAACACAAGTATTTCTATCTCTTGTGGACATGACTGTAGGAGATAGGTGTTCATGAATACGACTGCAAAAGGACATGGCAAGAAGTGATCTGCATCCTTGTAATCCCTTGTACTTGTTGCGGCTTGTGTGAGTCGGCAGCATAACATCGAACAAAGATGCTTTTGTCTGCAATTTTAGCTGCTCCCTGATTGTTGCTATATATCCACCCATTTATCTGTAAAACAAGTTATAAAGACCCCCTGCATTACCAAGATGAAATCATTAGTCTCCTCATTCTTCTGATCGGATAGATTTTTCTTAAAAGAAAAACCACAAACCCAAAAACAAACAAGTAAACTCTTAATTGCCATCACTCTGATTTATGAATCTCATAACTAAAAACTTAGTCATTTCTTTCTTGTAAAGTACCATATGATTATGGGCAACAAATGAACAACAAGATGGTAGAAATCAAATCTGCAAAGACAAATGATGGCAAATGAGTACAGACACGGAATCAAAACTATAAGCAGAAGTGCAGAAAAGCAATGTACTATTTCCCACTCCAACCCCAAAAAAAACATAGAACCAAATAAAGGATGTCGAGCCAAGAGCACTATCATTTTCATATAAAAAAGTCGTGGGTTTTTACATCCACACAGCCGATCATGTCCTTCAAGTCGCACGTTGCTTTCTACCTCATTGTTTCAAACCAAGTTTTACCATAACATGCCTTAGTTTTGAACCGGTCTGTAATTGATTCAATTATGAAATCATGACTAGTCGCTAGTTTCGTTTGGTATTGGTTTAGGATATGGTAATCTATACTTTTGACTTACATATGTAAGAATACCAAGAAAAATTTTAGTATCAGTAAAAAAAAAAAAAAACTATTTTAATTAGTATATGAATGCAAATCAAAGAATATTAATATATAAGCAATATATGTAGATATATGTTATCAACTTGTTTTATATTGTGTTATATCTCTTTTTTTTATAGTATTTATGTTTTATTTTTACTTAAATCTTTCTAATATTTATGATTTAATAGATTAAAATTATTTTATAAATAATTATTTCTAAAAATTATAACTAATTGTTAAAATAATACACATAAATTATTAAAATTATAATTAAATTAATAACTTTAATAAATTTAACAGTAATAATAACTTCACTTAAATTTTTTTTAAAAAAATCTATAAATGAGATCCAAATCCATATACAATACGGGCTTAAGTTTTGTCAGTATATGGATATCTAATCCATCCGTCGTGCCCATCCGATCCAATTAGTATACCACTTACGGCCCTCAGCAGTTAATGGTCCACTTAATCTTCAATTTAGGCTCAACCAAAACAGTTCTCTTCTTAAGGGCAGCGCAACTAAACTAACAAGCTGGACTTTCCGCTGGACCAAAAGATGGATTTTTATCCGTGGACTATAAAACAGAACAAAGGACCAGCACATTGAAAATCAACCGAGACCACAAGGAGAGCTCTATTACAATTTGGGCATTTCCAGAATACTATGTTTTGTTATCCCACTGCTATTCATAATCAACCTTCCAAAATCCTGTCCAACATCGTCGTTTTCCTGTCTTCGATTTTCTCTATTGATATACCATCAAACGATGAGAGCTCTACGCGAGCTTGTTCATGTAACCTCTATTGAATAGACCACTCGTCTTCTTTTCCTTCTCCCGAAACAGCATTGAATTGCAGCTGCTGCTTGTGATATCGAAGGCAGCGGAAACAGGTCGGGATAATGGATGAGAGTCTTGAGACTAGGCGTTATTTGTACCTTATTTGAATATTTGAATATTACCATTATTTGAGTAATTGGTTCATAAAGAATGTACCTTCTTTCCTGATGAACATAAAGGATGTAATTTTACAATGATACCTCAAGCTAATCACATTTGGTAAGATGACTAAGAAATTAGATATGCACGCTCAATTATGATTTATGAAGACTATGAGTAATTTTTCTCTTTTTTATTTTCATATCGGGATTTGTTTTTTCTCATTTGCTATAAAAAAATTCTTTTTTATGGTGTATGCTCTGTCTTGTAAAATTTTACGACTTAGGAAATTGATCATGGTTGAATTCTACTATTTATTGATCCATCCATCTTTGCTTGTACCATTCTATCCATATCTTTTGTAGGGATTTTATTTTGCGTTCAGACAATACATTTCCTTGTGAATGTCTTCTTGTCCATATAGTACAACTAGATCTATTTGTGCAATTTATTTGGAACATAGCTCAATCTAATGTTGTTATTCTTTTATGTTTCCCTTCAGAATTCACCCTTTTTTTCATTTTCATTTTTTAATTTGCATTTTCACATTTATTTTCATGTTCCGTAGCATCACTGGATTGCACCGCTCAGACAGGACATGGTGGTCATGATTGGCAAGAAGAGGTCTTTCAAAAGGTAAAGTATAATGTTGCTTCAAGTAGATAAAATGTAAGAAATGGATTTAAGATGGGTTTGGGATACAGGAAAGAATTCAGTTTTGAGACAGAAAGTAGCTAGAGTTTATTATTAGAACTGCCAAATATGAGTTCTGTGGAAACAACATGAATTCATTTGTCTTGAAAGAGGGTATCAAAGCTTACTTCTTGTAGCTAATCTGGGAGCAAAGTCATGTAACTTGTCCAAAGAAGCTTGCATGCAACCATAAGCAAGTAGTAGATATAAATTTTTTTGGAAAATCTTTTCATTATATTTATTGAAATTATTCTATGCTGATGAAAGAAATTTTATTATTTTTTAATGGGCTGAAGATATGATTGGTAATTTAATAAATTGAGTAGTAAGTGGTAACCATTCCTTCTTTCAATTTTATGTTGCAGATCAAATCCATGAAGGATATGTACTTGGGTGAGTTAAACAACATGCACCAGAAGATCACTGCAAGGTTGAAGCAGGTAAGGTTGCCTCTTTGTGCAATTCCAAAGAGATTTCTAGGGCCACTGGATCTCTAACCCACTTTTATATTAGAAGAGAAAGCAGAAAATTAGTAATCAATGAATCAACATAAGAGATTTAATTGAGTCCTGTTTTGATTGGCACTCCTGCGAATGTTTAGTTTTTCTTAGTTGCATGCATAAACTCTGGTAGTGGTTTGAGATCTAGTTATATGGTCTTAAGACAATTCTATGTTGCTGTTGGTTTTCCAGCCTGAATCTATCCAATGGTCAGAACAGCTTGACAAGTTGAAAATATTCAAGGCCATGTTGGAACGTATTATAGCTTTTTTATCGGTTTCCTCCAAAGAGAACATTACCCCCTTTAACAAGGAAAAATTGGGTTCTTATGAGAAGCAAATAGTGAATTTTGTAACTTCAAATGTGCAGCAGTCAGTGAACATGCATGAGTCTACGCAAACAATGCAACACAACTTGTCAAATGTGCAGCTTAATTCTCTGACATCTTTGTGTGGGGATTCATCCGCACAGCAGAGTATGTTAAGCTCACTGCAGCCAGGTTCGAACATGGATTTGGGTCAGGGAAACGCTCTGAGTTGACCGCAGCAGGTTATCACAGGGTCTTTGCAACAAAATCCTGTTAGTGCGACAAGCAAACTGTTGAAGTAACTGAGACCAAGTCTTTCAAATTTGTCATGACAGTTATGTGTTAGCAGTTATCTTTATGTAATTTTGTGATTCACGCTTCATGGTGCAGTAGTTTATTTTACAGTTAATTAACTTCCTTATGTTTCAGCAACTGACATCTATAAGTTGCTGTTTTCTTAGGAGTCTAATGTAAGTCTGATGTATGTTTGATGCTGTGTTTTTCTGATCTGTCAGAATACAGTTTATGTATTTCATTTCTCAAGTTTAATCCTTGAGTTTATGTTTATATATTTATTTTTTTTAAACAGTGTACATTGTGGGGGTGGGGCTTCATACCCCGTTTAAGGGCTGGGGGATGCACTTTTCAAGAAGGTTTAAAGCCATCGAGCCACTAGGCTCAAGTGCGAGTTTATGTTTATTTCATGTTCATTTTCAGTTAAGTTTTCATATTTACATCTTCACAGACATTAACATCCTGTCATCACAAACTGGACTGAATGTTCAACAGTCAAATATGAATCCTCTTCTTCAGTAAAATCGTAACAAGCTCCAGCCTCAGCATCTGAAACAAGAACAGCCAGAGGGATCTCGCTTTAATTTAGTTTTTGAATTGTTTTAGAATTTGATTTTTTAATTTTTGTCATTTGCTTTAAAAAATAATTTGATTAACAAAAACATTACTTAATAAAAATGTTTGCATCTTTATTCTGTTAATTATTTTAGCTTCTATGTACTGAATTTTATTTGTTTTCTCTTTCATATTATTTAATTTATTAGGATGAAAAAAAAAATTCTAATAGGTAATTTTTTTTAACAAAAAAAAGTAGAAAAGAAAAGAAAAGAAAAATATACATTAAAAAGCTTTTAAGAGATGCTTAACCAACAAGAATCAAATTAACTTAACACATCAAAAAGAACGCATCATAGCATAGCAGATATCTTTTTCTTATGAAGTATACATGTGACACAGATGGCGCAGAG